CTGAATCGCTCTTTGTCTGGTCCCTCACCCAGGACCAATTTGCCATGGGAGACCCTACCAGGGGGCAAAAGCCCCCAGACAACATAGCCCCTGGGATCCCTGGAACACACAAACCCCTCCACCACGATAAGGTAGCGATTCAAGGAGGAATTGCTACCTTGAATCGATTGAATCGACAATACAATTGATTCAAGGACAATACAATTTTTTTTATTTATTTTATCAACTTTTTTTCTGACGATGCTTTCTCTGTTGAGCACACAGTGGATCTGCGTTCGACTACTCTGCTTAGGCTGCACTGTTGAGTGCATGTCCACTGAGCGCAGCGGAAGCTAGCAAGACAGAAGCTAAACTCGTTGCAACATGGCAAATTGAACCTCCCCCACCCTCATTCAGATCTGGCGTTTGGAACTATCTTGGTGTTCATGTGAAGCAGCATGACCCTGATGGTAAGCTCGTCATGGACAAAAGTAAAACAGTATGTCGGATGTGCCACGCAATGCTAAATTACATTGGTGGGAACTGGTGCGTTCACGCAATTAGCTTGTTAATGTGTTGACGCCGTCCAGCCCCACACACGGGGGCTCGTCAACGGAGATTTGCCACGTTATGGCTTTAATGTCATTTTAACGAGAGTAATGCTGACAGCACTACAGGGAGTGCAGAATTATTAGGCAAATGAGTATTTTGTCCACATCATCCTCTTCATGCATGTTGTCTTACTCCAAGCTGTATAGGCTCGAAAGCCTAGTACCAATTAAGCATATTAGGTGATGTGCATCTCTGTAATGAGAAGGGGTGTGGTCTAATGACATCAACACCCTATATCAGGTGTGCATAATTATTAGGCAACATCCTTTCCTTTGGCAAAATGGGTCAAAAGAAGTGCTTGACAGGCTCAGAAAAGTCAAAAGTAGTGAGATATCTTGCAGAGGGATGCAGCAGTCTCAAAATTGCAAAGCTTCTGAAGCGTGATCATCGAACAATCAAGTGTTTCATTCAAAATAGTCAACAGGGTCGCAAGAAGCGTGTGGAAAAACCAAGGCGCAAAATAACTGCCCATGAACTGAGAAAAGTCAAGCGTGCAGCTGCCAAGATGCCACTTGCCACCAGTTTGGCCATATTTCAGAGCTGCAACATCACTGGAGTGCCCAAAAGCACAAGGTGTGCAATACTCAGAGACATGGCCAAGGTAAGAAAGGCTGAAAGACGACCACCACTGAACAAGACACACAAGCTGAAACGTCAAGACTGGGCCAAGAAATATCTCAAGACTGGTTTTTCTAAGGTTTTATGGACTGATGAAATGAGAGTGAGTCTTGATGGGCCAGATGGATGGGCCCGTGGCTGGATTGGTAAAGGGCAGAGAGCTCCAGTCCCACTCAGACGCCAGCAAGGTGGAGGTGGAGTACTGGTTTGGGCTGGTATCATCAAAGATGAGCTTGTGGGGCCTTTTCGGGTTGAGGATGGAGTCAAGCTCAACTCCCAGTCCTACTGCCAGTTTCTGGAAGACACCTTCTTCAAGCAGTGGTACAGGAAGAAGTCTGCATCCTTCAAGAAAAACATGATTTTCATGCAGGACAATGCTCCATCACACGCGTCCAAGTACTCCACAGCGTGGCTGCAAGAAAGGGTATAAAAGAAGAAAAACTAATGACATGGCCTCCTTGTTCACCTGATCTGAACCCCATTGAGAACCTGTGGTCCATCATCAAATGTGAGATTTACAAGGAGGGAAAACAGTACACCTCTCTGAACAGTGTCTGGGAGGCTGTGGTTGCTGCTGCACGCAATGTTGATGGTGAACAGATCAAAACACTGACAGAATCCATGGATGGCAGGCTTTTGAGTGTCCTTGCAAAGAAAGGTGGCTATATTGGTCGCTGATTTGTTTTTGTTTTGTTTTTGAATGTCAGGAATGTATATTTGTGAATGTGGAGATGTTATGTTGGTTTCACTGGTAAAAATAAATAATTGAAATGTGTATTTTTTTTTTTTTGTTGAGTTGCCTAATAATTATGCACAGTAATAGTCACCTGCACACACAGATATCTCCCTAAAATAGCTAAAACTAAAAACAAACTAAAAACTACTTCCAAAAACATTCAGCTTTGATATTAATGAGTTTTTTTGGGTTCATTGAGAACATGGTTGTTGTTCAATAATAAAATTATTCCTCAAAAATACAACTTGCCTAATAATTCTGCACTCCCTGTAAAGAAACAAAAAAACTTCAGTGTCAAGCTAGCTTTACTTTCATGGATCTGTAGCAATTTCACTTGATTTATCACTCAGTGTCAAAACACACAAATGACTCATTCATTTATTAACAGAAAAGCACAATCAAATTACCTACACCACAAATTAAGTTCAAATAAATAAAATGAAATTATTTTCATGGGTTCACTCCAGCTAAGCTAATGAAACAAACAAAGATGTCAATCTTGGCAAAATATAAATTTGTTGAAGTCAAATTATATTCAACACTACAAGGCACACTTAAAATCCTTTAATTTTCTCCAAAATTGATAGTGCGCCATATAATCTGGTGCACCTTATGTATGAATTCTGGTAGTGCTTACTGACCTCAAACCGATTTTTTGTGGCATATGGTGCTGAAAAATCTGTCAAAAAATGTTTTAGCACGATTTTGGTAAGGTACAAAGCTGGAAACCTGGAGGATGAACGCTAACTTCTTTCCACTTGATAAAAGTTAACGTAAGGATTCCTGATAGTTAGAGACAAATGCAATCGCATGGCAGGATGCTGTAAACAGACCAAACTTCAGTCAGGAGAACAACTGAGATAATCCTTCCACAATACGAGGTTAGTCATTCATATACTGCAACAACATGGGAATAGAGGTAATGGTGCAGAAGTGGAGGAAGCAAGAAGAATGAGTTGAGTAAAGTTTGACTTATCTGACTGTTTTGTTTTCCTTAATGCACCTTATAATCCAGTCCGCCTTATGTATGAAAACAGACCCCTTCATCGACAGTTCGCCTTATAATCCAAAAAATACAGTATTTTTTAACAGTAGTATTTGTACTTCTACTTAACTACAGAATGTGTGTACTTTTGCCACCTATAGTTTTACCAAAATATGCTCAAAATTAAACTGTTTTCCATCTTTGGAGATCAGGATCCTGGGTATTTAAGTGCATTTCTTGATCCCTTTTCTCCTGCCTGTCTCTTTGAACTATCTTAAGCCGTGAGTACTGATATTTCCATGTGCCTTTTATTTTATTGTGTGTTTACAAATGAAGTGGCCATTTGGTTTTAGGCCACAGCGCATGTGTCTGTCATGATCCAAGCAGGCAACCAGGGTTTTATTTTCAGACCATTAGAGACTGTTGTAATTAAGGTGTGCATGGGTGAGAGTGAGTGTGGGCCCACCATAGTGTTTAATTATCTAGTTTTATTTGGTATTAGAAATTGTAGTGAATGAACAGTAATGAATACCACTTCATCAGTGGTACATATTAAAATAACACTAAACCCAATTGAATTAACTTATTTCCTTTATTTTGTCCTGAAATAAAGTCAAACTGATGCATTTCAGATGAAATCCTTGTCTTGTGGTTTATGTACATAGTTCATATTTTGGGTTCTGAGCAGGTAATATCGTGAGTAACCTAAACTGTAGAGACCCAGGCCCCGCTCCCAATTACATGAGATGGCTGTGACACTTTTTATTTGGAGAACTGGAACCGCTTTAATTATGGTTGCAATACAGATATGACCGGGTCACGTCTCTCAGTGAAGAATTATCCTGAGCAAAACAGGATTTTTGGAGCACACAAAGAGACTGGACAGTGTGGAGTCACCTGACAGCACACACAGTACTCTGCTTTAAAGGGAACAGTACATACTGGGGAAGCATTAACAGAATCAAAACACTAAAATAAAATAACTGACAGACCTTTCTACTCCTGGTGGGATAGTTTTGCAGTTGCAGCCTTTTAGCCTTCGCCTCTTAGTAAATCTGTCTCTGAATAAGAGAATATTTCAGAAGAACAGTGCTCATCCCTCCTCACAGAAACAATGCTGAGCAGCAGTGAAGCTGATCTGGAGGCTCACAGCATCCCAACACCTTACTGAGACGCTTCATTCTGGGTTTTAAGTTCATTTATCACCAGTTTAAATGGTTTGTGTTAGCTGCAGTTTTTTGTTTTTGTGATGAAAAACATGTTGGCTGTGTTCATGTGACTCATTCTGCCAGTTGGTGGTCTGTCTCAGAGAGATGGATCATGAGAGTACGTTCAGTTCAAAGGGAACATGAGGTTTCAGTACAGCTCATCGTGATGGCAGACTGTCACAGTGAACTCTTCAGAGGGAGCAGAAAACCTTCAGGTCCTCCAAAACATTTAACAAAGATGAAGATACAGCAGAGTTTAAAGGAAGTGCTTAGAAAATAAAGACCAGGAAGAGTCACATTTTCCAACATTTTCTGTAAACTCAGTAAAATGCACCAAACTGAGGCTGGTTCATGAACACAGACACACTCAGTTTAATCTGTCAGGTGTTCACAGATTAAATGTTCAGATTTAATAAATAAATGCATTCAATTTGAGTGTCTGACTATAAAACTGGTCTCTGTGTCCTGCTGATAAATGTGGGCTCTGAGACAAACCCACTGCATGCAGATAATTTGTGTTTATGTGTCCTCAGTTTCCCAGCATGCCCCGGCTGTGGTGGTGGAGGTGAATGAGGGGGAAAGATCTGTCCTGCTTCCCTGTCAGTACTCAGGTTTTATACCTGAAGATGACCTCACAGTGATGTGGACTCGCTCTGATCTTGATCCCAAATCTGTCCACCTACAACGAGAAGGAGGAGACGATCTTACAGGGCAAAACCAGCGTTACAGCGGGCGCACATCAATGAGGCCTGATGCTCTAGATACTTTAGACTTCAGCCTCACTCTGAGAAAACCCACAAAGAGTGACAGTGGCAGCTATACCTGCTCCATCAGTGCTGGAGAGAAGAACTCCGACTGAGAGATATACAGCTGCAGGTCAAAGGTCAGTCAGAACTCTGGGTGGGTTAGAGACTCCACATGGAGACTGTTATCTATGTGACATCTCAGAGTAAGAGGTCAAACTGAAGTTTTGTAAATTGTTGTGACTAACCTGAAAAACCAGCAGCAACATGTAGCTCAGAGCTAACCTCAGTGCAAACAGGATGTCTCTGCTACAACAGCTGCAGTCTTTACTGCATGTGCAGGGTTACACTCGCAACATTTACACACTGTACACAGTGGAGAGCATGAGCTCTCTAAGCCTCACTGCAGCTCACAGAGCAGCAGGAAGTGTCCTGATGTTGTACAGACTAAGACTGGAGGAGCTGCTATGAAACGCAGACAGAGCAGAGACGGGTCATCATGTTTCATCCAGCTGGTCCTGATGTCACTGAGACTCTCAGGTTAATAACTGAGGATAATTGAGAATAATTGAGGAAATCAATGACTGGTTGTGCCACAATTTTCTCCAGCTAAACAAAAACAAAACTGAAGTAATAGTCTTTGGCGCCAAAGAAAAACGATTACAGGTCACCAGAGAACTTCAATCTATACATCTAAAAACCACAACCAGGCGAGAAATTGGGTGTAGTGATGGATGCAGACCTAACTTAGAAAACACATTAAGACAATAACAAAGTCAGCTTACTATCACCTCAAGAATATATCAAGGATAAAAGATCTGATGTCTCAACAGGACCTGGAAAAACTAGTCCATGCATTCATCTTTAGTAGGCTTGATTACTGTAACAGCATCTTACAGGTCTACCTAAAAATCAGTCAGACAACTACAGCTCATTCAGAACTCTGCTGCTCGAGTCCTCACTAAGACCAAAAAAGTGAACCACATCAGTCCAGCTCTGAGGTCTTTACACTGGCTGCTGTCCGTCAGAGGATAGACTTTAAAGTTCTGATGCTGGTCTATAAAGCTCTGAATGGTTTAGGACCAAAATACATCAATGACCTCCTGACCCAGTATGAACCTTCCAGATCCCTCAGGTCATCTGGATCCGGTCTTTTATCAGTTCCCAAAGTCAGAACCAGACACGGAGAAGCTGCATTCAGCTTTTATGCTCCTTATATCTGGAACAAACTCCAGAAGCCTCAGATCAGCTGAAACACTCAGTTTATTTAATCCAGGTTGAAGACTCACTGTTCTCAGCTGCATTTGATAAGCACCAAATCCACACTTTAAGCTTAAATTTCAAAACTTACATTAACTACTGATTTATCTACTGTTCTGATTTATCTGTTTGATTTATATACTGTTTGTTGTTTGTTAATTAGTTAGTTTATTGCTTGTTTAATCAATTTAAATCATGCTTTTATTTGTTTTTGTTTCTAATGTCTCTGTAAAACACTTTGAATCACCTTGTTGTTGAATTGTGCTATACAAATAAACTTGCCTTGCCTTAATAACTGCTGTTAGGATATGTAGTGTAAATCATAGCGGGGTTCAGGTAACAGCGAGGGGACTGCAGAGTTAATGGCATAAAACTGTAGGACTGATGTTTATATTTTGATATTGTTCTTCTTAAGTTTTTATCTGTTACATTTATCAACCATCATCTCAGACAGCTGCTGCCTGACGGAAACACTTGAAATAGTTTCAATAGACTTTCCTGTAAGTTCATTATACACAAACAAAGCATTTACTCATTTGAGAGACATTTGTAAAAAACTAAATAGAAAGCATCTTTTTCAGTGGACTGGCTGTCCCAGAGAAAGATCCAGTGAATATTTTATGAAACCATTCAAGAGTAAAAGCAAAAGATCCCAGACACCCTCTCTACTTCTAAGGTTAGACTCCAAACTTTCCTTTTTTGATAGAGATTGTAGTTTTTACGCTTATAGGGCTATAGATAGAAACAATATGAATCTGGCCAACGGTAGAGATTTTGACTATAGCTCAATGGCAACTAAAGAGTCAAGTATAAGTCAATTAAGTACCGTATCTACATTTCTTTCATGTATGCTGTCCAATAGAGGCTGAACCGTTTGAAGTCCGGCATCACTTGTGTCACTGCTCTGACTGCTGGTGGTTGAGACAGAAAATGTATCTGTTAGAGTTGGAGAGGAGGACTCTTCCACATGTTGCTTCAGGACAGTCAAATCTGAGGGTGACAAATAAAAATATTACAATATAAGGTATCTACAATCAAAAACACAACACAACAAAGATGCCATTTATGCACACAGGGCCAGTAAACTGCACGCTTTGATTAAAGTATACTTTCTCCCAGGAGAACAGATGGTTATCTTGTATTTTATTATGGTAATATACAATTTACATACCACAAGGTGTGAGTGTCACATAGTGTGTTAGGTGTGAGCAGTCGCGCAGCTTCTTGGATGATTGTGTTTCCAGGATGTCTGAAATGCATGTGATAAATCCAACTTACTGTTGAGCCATGAAAGCAGCATTTTGTGATTGTTACCACAGGATATTAGACAAATTAAAAATGTTTATTTAAGAGTAACTGTACAAATCAAATCCTTCAAAATCTATCAGAGCATATTTACTTACCTTCAGCTGTATAGATGACAAAACACACCTCTTTGCCTGCTGCAAGTGCAGGAAAGACATCCTCATCCACCTCTATACCCTGCTCATCTGTGACTTTCAGTGCTGCATTTTCTGGTATGAGAAACTTCTGCTGTACTGAAGTAAAATCATCACTCAGTTACTAACAACATTATCATTTCCTCTTTAATGACTTAGTACAAACCATAACTTACCTGCTCTCACAAAATCTGTGAAGCTGACTTCTTCCAATTTTGCATATTTCTTTGTCTCTCTGTGTTTTACTTTTATCAACATCTTGGCCACCCACGAAAAAAAACGACCTTTACTAATGTGAAACACAACACAAGAAGAAGAGGTTGTTTATGGTAACTTTATGTAAACTGTGTATAACTTAATCAATAAACACTTTCTTACATTGAGCTAGCCTGCCCACACTAAATATTGCTTAAAATCTATTTAGCTAGGCTGGTTTAGCAGACTATGTGACCGCATGTTTGCTGTGTCCTTGTCTTTACAGTTCTGCAGACAGGGTTGTGTGCATATCTCAGTGTGCAGCAGGACTAACTAACTGATGTTAATGGTACCTCAACATCTCATCAGTGCAGGCTGCACCTCTCGTTGGTTAAATACGGCCATTACCATGAGTCTAAACAGAATATTACTGTAGTTAGCTAACGTTAAATTAAACGTTAGTGTTAAAATTAAGAAATAGAAATAAACGTTTTCATTGACAACATGAAATGTGTATCTTAAAATACAGTAAGATAAGTTAGTTAGCTAACTTTTGACTAGCTTTAGCCTAGCTGCTATCTCCAAATCAGCACAACATACAGAAAACACATGTAGTGCTAGTTAGTTAACTTTATATTTTACTTATGCATCCATGTAACTGAATATATATATATATAAATAACATCACTACACTCTCAGAAAATCCCAAAGTAAATAAAGTATTTTTACCTCCTACATGTCGGAGTCCAAGAAAGAAACACAGATAGGCGCGGTAACAGTCGACAGACAAACAACACCAGCAATGTGTTGAATTAGACTCCTTAGCACCCAGTGAATGAACACCTAAATATTACACCACTTTAGAGTACTCCCCAACACTGACTGTAGTATAAGGTGAAAAATAAACTCCAGGATATTTAACTCCAGAGATTTGCTGTGTAGATACTCAGCCGTGCTTCAGTTACCATCAGTGTGACTGCTGCTGCTTCTACACCTGATACTGTGGTTTATTGTCCTCTCAGACCACCAGGTGGAGGTGGAGGTGGAGGAAGGCTCAGAGTCTGTCATTCTGCCCTGCAAAACTACAGCTGACCTGCCTCAGGACACCAGAGTGGAGTGGACTCGCTCTGACCCTGAACTGATGGTGGTTCATGTGTATCCAAACAAAAGTAACCACCTGGATGACCAGGACAGTTTTTACAGAGACCGAACAAAGATGAATGAAGACCTGCTGAGAACTGGAGACCTCAGTCTGACCCTGAAATACCCCACAGAGAGAGACAGTGGAGGATACATCTGCACCATCTACAGGGACAAAGACATCCTGAGACACAAAGTAGTGCTGCAGGTCAAAGGTCAGAGATGTAGAAAAACACCAGGTGTTAGTGGAGGAAATTGAGGTCAATGTTCAGCAGTCATGTTGATATCGTTTTATGTTTCTCCACAGAACCATTTCCATCCTGGGCCACAGCTCTCCTGGTTCTCCTGGTTCTTCTTGTGGTTTCTGGAGGTCTCATATATTATTTCCGGCACTATTTCATGTCAGGTGAGTGTCTCCTACTACACTACCCATAATGCCGATGGTCAGCAGGTGTCCTCTGGTGGCTCCTCGACTGTGGCTCACACAAACTTGTTCCAGAAGCTGAAAGAGTTGAGAGTTACAAACAGCTGATACAGAGAGCTGAAGAGAAACTTCCAGGTTTGTTCCAGAAGTCAGAAAACCTCTTTCAGACTCAGTCATTGATCAGTGAAACAGCTCCACAACATGACTTTACTAAACAGTGTGTGTGCTTCACTGCATTGATCTGACACAGAGGCTGCATGTGGACTTTATTTATGCACGTAAAAGTCTCACTGGGATTAAAATCTCTTTTACAAGAGAGACCAGCGGAGGGCAGCAGAAGTTACAATGAAAACAACCAATACAACTGAACAGAAACGTGAATAATATATAATAACTTTAAATTGTGTTTTAGAAAACCAAGTATAATGTCAGCAGAAATGGTGACCTTTCTGTGGAAGTCCATGCCAAAGTTTTCTATATGAAGAAAACTCCTAATTTACATAAATAAACTGGAATCTATCAGATGTGATTCAAACCACTGCAGTAAATTCCCTTTAATAACTCTGGTGTGTTTGCAGTAAACTGTTGTGGTCTACACTGAGGTCTAACAGGACAAGCACAGGAATAAGTCCTCTGTAACAGGTCATAAGGAGAACATTAGTAACCTTCACTACAGCTCATGTTGTGCTTTGTTGTCCTCTCAGTCCGCTGGGTGGGGGTGGATTCAGGGGTGGAGTCTGTCCAGCTGACCTTAAAAACCACAGTTTGGCTGCCTAAAGATGCTAAAGTGGAGTGGAAGGATGATGAAGAGGAAACAGTCCACGTGTATGAGAACGGCTCTGACCAGCCTGAAGAACAGGACGATAAATACAAGAACCGAACAAAGATGAAGAGAAACTTACTGGAACCTGGAGACCTCAGTCTGACCCTGAAATACCCCACAGATGGAGACAACTCCACCTACACCTGTACCGTCTACAGCAGGGAGGGAAACATCCTGCTGAAGAGAAAGGTGGAGCTGGAAGTCAGAGGTCAGTGCTGTAGATACAGGTCCAAGGTCAGAGGTCAGACTCATGATGGTTGTTCAGTCTCAGTGGCTCCATCCAATAATGTCACAGTGTTAGCATGTCTGATGTTTGTGGCTGTTTTGGTTTATTTTGATTTCCAGCCAAATGTAAAAGCTTCAGCAGATGAACTGTAGGAGCAAAGTTCATGTGTGAGACTTCATCTGAAAGGTAACATCTTCTAGTTTCTGAACATGTGTTTGTTTAGCATGTGGCTAAAACACAGGCTAAGCTAAGTCAGCTCAAATCTCAGTAACAACCTTCTTTGGTCCTCATCTATAATCAGTCATATCTGAGTCACAATAACTAGAAGATGATTTCTAGCAGAAGTGTGAACATCTCCACATCCTTTCTCCATGTTATCATCCAAAGCTGTGTGAAGTTTCAGAGCTCTGCAGCTAACAGAGACTTTCAGTTTGCTGCTCTCTTCCTCTGACAGCTCCATTCTTAGGAAGCGTTAGTTCTGTTTCACTTTATTCCACTTATTCAGTCTGATGTTCTCTGATCTGTTTCTCTTGTTTAGTGTCTTAAATGCTGCCAGTGCCTCTCTTTGCTTTAACCAACCTTTCTCTTTATTTCTGAGCTTTTTAAGGACTTTAACTGATGCATCAACCTTTGAAAATGGAAAGAAATCAGTCAGATTCATGGCTGCATCACAGTGTCACATGTAGTTCTCCACATCAGCTGGATTATATCTATAGCAGCAAACAGCTGATGCACAAATCTTTGTCTGTGTTAATAAAGTTGGATCAGTTCAAACAGTTTGTTGCTCTGCTTGAAAGCAGCAGTTTTTCTAATGCACCACCTTCATGTTTCCTTCATATTTGAATCCCCCTGTAGATGCTGACAGGTAACCATGTCACACAGAGCTCAAGCCTTTGAATCCAGCTGTGACTGTTGATTTTCTATTGAATGGACTTTTTCAAATCCAGCTGTAGGCCTGTGTTTGTGAGCTCATTAACAGCTGTTTGTTTAGAGAGACGTGGTCCTCACAGGACAGCCACTACAAACATATGATTTTATAGAATATGATGCATTACTGCAGATTCAACACAATAGAAAGGATTTGAAATGAGCTCAGCCTTAAACATGTGCAGCAGTAATATTGATCCACAGACACTGATGGGAACATTTTTCTGCACAATAAGTACTTTGACTTTTCATACTTTATGTACAATTTGCCAGTACTGCAGTTTTGTGTGTAGTGAGGTGTTTTCATGGTGTTTTATTGGTGCTTTTACTAAAGGAAGGCTTCTATCAAATTCTTCCACATGTTGTCAAACTGAGCTGTGTGATGAAGTGAGTGTGACAGAAACACTCAGACTGTGTTTCTTACTTTGTTGTCCTCTCAGTCCCCCAGGTGGAGGTGGATTCAGGGGTGGAGTCTGTGCAGCTGCCCTTCAACACCACACTTCACCTGCCTGAAGGCGCTAAAGTGGAGTGGATGGATGATGAAGAGGAAACAGTCCACGTGTATGAGAACGGCTCTGACCAGCCTCACAAACAGCACCAGGTTTACAGAGACCGAACGAAGATGAATGAAGACCTGCTGAAAACTGGAGACCTCAGTCTGACCCTGAAACACCCCACAGATGGAGACAACAGGACCTACACCTGCACCGTCTACAGCAGGGAGGGAAACATCCTGCTGAAGAAACAAGTGGAGCTGAAAGTCAGAGGTCAGTGCTGTAGACACAGGGCAAAGGTCAGAGGTCATGCAGGAGTTTATTCTCTAAAAGCTTTTAGTTTGAATCTATTTTCAGTTCATTCAAATAAAATAAATTCTTTGATGTTTTGATCTAAAAGCCAAAAATGTCAGGCGGAGCAACTGTGTGTTTAAATGAACTAAGAAGAGCATTAAAATGATCCTACCTTCAAAATAAAAGCCTCTGGCATGATGTGAGTTTGGATCAAATCAATAGTTTTGTTAGTTTAGTCCAAATCAGTGTAAATGTATAAATATCAATAGTTTTAAAGCTGCTGAGATCATTCAAACACTTTAATCCAGTCATTTGGATGTTGTCACATGTCAGGGTGGAGCAGCCATAAATACGAGGCTTTTATTGTGAAAATGCTGAGTGTGATGATCCAGAGGAGCCCATGGGGTGTTTGTGGCTGGATGCAAAGGTTTGTAGCTCTCCTTGTAAAGAGAAACAGCTTGAAGCTACAGAGGAGCGTCTGCAGAAGAAGACAGGGGAAAGAGGAAGAAGCTGAGGCCGCTGGAGAAAAGACAGGAAAAGGAAATCAGCTTCATTTGTTGGAGGCCGTTTGTTCATCACACTGAAATATTCCCACTTTAGAGACAGGAAACAAAGTGAAGTGTGGATTGATGTTTGTCTCCATGATTTGGGCCCTGGAGTCATTTCTTCATCTCCCACTTTAAGACATATTAATGTCAGCCTCACACGTCCCACAGTGGACACATTTCTATTTCTAGATGATATTTGGAGGATGGTCATGTGTTTCTCTGCTGTCACAGCTCTTTGTGATATTTGAGCGCAGCTGTAATGTTTGTGTGGTTAAAGCCACCAGACTCCACTGACAAAAACTCTCATTTTAGCCGGAGAACACGGGGCTGCTGTGGGACTTTGTGTTTGCAAAGGTTTCTATTGGAGGCATGTTTGCCTTTATTATATAGGTGCAGAGAGTAGACAGGAAAGTGGGGAGAGAGTGAGGGACACACAGGCACCTGTAGTAAGCCCCGCCTTCAGCCCACCTGCTCAGCCAGGTGAGCTATAGCGCTGCTTTAACATGTTGGTGTGATTGAGAGTGAATGAAAGTGAGTGATGGAGGCAGCAGGAAACTAACAGGCTGTTTGTTCTGAGAGGTCACATGACTGTTGTTCTCAGCAGAGTCTGATGATTTGATGAGACCATGAGAGCGGCTTCAGTTCCTCATCAGAAAGAGTCTGACAGAAGCTCCTCCCTCTGTACCCCAGTAGACTTCTATTAGACTGCTCCAGATTCCTGAGAGTTCACACAGAAAACTTTACAAACAGCCAAAGAAAACTATTGAAAAGCTTCAAGATCACAAAGAGCTCTTTGTGACCCATGCAGACCCTCAGAAAGGAAGCGTTTGTGTCCACTGACATGTTAGAGTGCTTTTAATTTGAAATTCACACAGGAAATGATGTGTTTCCATAAAGAGTGTAGTGCAGTAAGTTTAAGAGAGCAGGGCCAAAACAGACTGATGGATTATTGTGACATCACTGTTTGATTCTTCTATTCAACTGAAGAAGAAGAAAAGTTCTCTTCAGTTGGTGAGGTCAAAGGTTAAAGGTCAGACTCGGGTTCATCTTTGGTCAGTTTACAACACAGGTGTTCAGACAGGTGGGAAAGCAGTGGGTGGAAGAAAAGAGAGGATGTGGAGGAGAAATGAGGAGCACAGGAAGGAGAGAGGAGAGGAGGTCATAGAGAGAGATCACTAAATGATCTCTGGAGAGCCAAAACACTCCTTCAAACAGTCCCAGACTTTACTCAGTTAAACTTCAGGATGACTGGAAGACTGTTCCTGTATGCTGTGTGGTGGGTGAGGTGCTGAGTGGGGATAAATCACAGTCTGGTTCTTGAGGTGGTCCTGACCTTGAAATGCTCTCATTCATTCCTCGGTGTGAACAGGCAGCTTCTGCAGGTGTGGTGCTAAAGCTCCATCTGGGTGGAGTCACAGGTGTTAGCTGGTGAACAGCTGAGTCTGTAGGCTCTATGGCTGTATCCAAATTCAGGGTCTGCAGCCTTAAAGGCCTCATTTTAAGGCCGATTACATCACAGCAACGCGACAAAGGCTGTCCCAATTCAAAGGCTGCTCGAAATGCGGCCCTCAAATGCATCCTTCATTTTCCTGAATTTTAAGGATGTGGCGGTGTAGACTTCGTGGCCCAACATATCCCAGAATGCATAGCGCGGCGGTGGCGTGGATGATTTTGCCGGAAAAAAAAGGCAGACGAAGGGCACCCGAAGAGTAAACTTTTAAAAGTAAGTACTGAATATTATTTTTAATAATGAAGAACATTTAAACATTACTGTTCGCCACATGTCGGCAAAGTTATGTGACATTAGCGATGTTTGTACTAACTTGGTTTTAAAGCCTTTCAAATATACGCCGTTCAATAGTCGACCTTCATCAATGTGATGATTTTATGGATATTAAAAGTAAGCACTGAGACAAATTTAGTAATGCCAACATATTAAAAGAACAATATTTGTCTATTATACATAATACATATACAGTGTCAAAGGAACCTGTCTTTGAGTGAAGATTTAAGGTGACAGGAAATATAAATAAATGCAGCTTGAATCTTTACTGCAGCTCAGTGTTTGAAACAGACTTCATTCACTGCTGTAATAACTAATGATGATTGAAATAATAACTTTAATATTGGCCATATTATATTTACATTACCAAAGTGATATGACTTTAGTCTCATGAACAACATCAGCTAACTGTTATTTACTAGCTAATCTTAAAATGACTGTTCAGCACAGAAATGAAGCCCAACAATCATGTTTCACAGTCCCGTGGTCTCAGCCTCAGATACTCATCAAATCAAAGTTCATGTAGAAACAAACAAATGAACAAAAGATTTTCTCCTTCATTTCTGTCAAATAACGCTGTATGAAACGTTTCCACCCTGGGCAGCGCGACGGAGGCTAGACCGTCCCATTTCACAAGCCCCTCACTTCCGGCCTTAGCGGTCTTTGAGTACGCGGCCCTTGTGGATCGTTAAGGCTGCGTACTTTAAGGCTGCAGACCCTGGATTGGGATACAGCCTATATCTGGTGCTGCACTCTCTGCTGGTTGTAGCTGCTGCTCTACACACTGCTGTGTCCTTCAGAGTCCTCCTCAAACACGGTTTTCTGTTCTGGTTAAACACCTCTGCTGCAGCTTCAAAACGACTCAGTCTTTTGCGTTTCTTCTATGTTCTTGTTTATTCTGTTATGTCTTTTGTTTAGGTTTGCTATGTATTGGGGTTTTGTTTTATGCCTGCCTGTGTTCCCTCTGTCTGTTCATGGTGTCACTGTGTCTGCTCGTGAGTCTGTCTGTTAAGTTCAGTGTCTTGTCTGGTCCTCTATGTCTGTTTCCTGTTTTTTTCTGAAGGTCCTTGTCTCATGTGAGTGTGTTCAGTTTACGTTTCCCGTGTCTCGTCAGCTCTGATTTCTCCCAGGTGTGTTCCCCTCCTGTCTCCCATCCCTTGATTACTGCTGTTTGTATTTAAGCCCCGTGTTCTCCTGCCTGTTGCCGGTTCGTCTGCATTAATTCCCTGCGTGTTTCTATGTTTCCCTTGGTCTCCAGTTAGAGCTTCAGCTGCCTGCATCTTGGGTCCTCATTAAATTTCATATGGCTCATCCCTTGAGCCTTGACAATGAGAAGCTCTAAAGTGAAGATTTCTCTTCTTGAATCTCTCTGCTCGTCATGAAGGAGCTTTTTTACTGTTGTAAAAAAAGTGTGCGTCCCTTTGTCCACTTTGACAGACAGCTGAAAGCTTCAATCATCATTAATACTCATAAAAAAATAATGTTTAAAAAGCATTAAAA